CTCCAAATAGTACCCCGAGCAAGGGACCATATGTGTTATGTGATTTCCATTCAGAAATAACACTTACTAGCTTGTATTACACCTGAAATCATGTCATTAATTATTAATGGCTTTCATTAAAGTTTTTGTAGCATTATGACACTTCTATTAAAATACAAATATCCCTGAGAGATAACACTCCAAGCTCATTATCAATGATTTACATCTTTTCAGGGATTATTTCAGGATTATCTCATGAAATATCAAATCACTTTCCACCTGTGACAGTAAATAAGTAAATTCAGCCACATGAGGAAGCACAGCAGCATATAGCTACTCCTGTCTTGTGGTATCAGGACAGTTAGAAGAGAATGCCTGCTACCCAAACTCCACCACCCCATCCCAAATTTCTTCTTTTACGTTTAAGCCAAAAGGCTCTCTGTACACCATTAAATACAGATATCCCCGAAAGAGGTCACACATTAAGCCCAAACGTTATTTTCATTTCTGAATAAATGCATTTATCAGATTCTTCAGGATGATGACCTCAGCCCTCACTCTTTAATTCTTTGAAATGTTTTCATTAGTTTCATTAAATCTTAACACTTCAACTTTGATGTTTATTGAAATAATCATAAATTATTATAATTTGCTCTCATCTTCTATCCTTGGCTAGACCAGAATATTCAGATGGCCACTGGACATCTCCATCCATCTGTTGCATGAACACCTCATGCTGAACATACCCAGGGCCAACACAATGCATTCCCTTCAAACCTGGTTCTGAATTAGTGCTCTGGCACAGTGCGGACCTATATGTTTAGGTTTTTGGTCAAGAAAAAACTGTATAGGCCCTTAATGCCAAAGGTAGGAAAAGTATAATAGGGAGAAAACTCTTCTTGGAAGAAGAAAAGGAAAATCAAACAAAAAAGGTAATATTTCCATTTGTTATGGGTTTACTTAGCCACACGGTAACTCAAGTAGTAACCTCAGGGCATTCTTCACTTTTCCCTTCCTTACAATCAGTGACTATATCCTAAAGGTTCCAACTTTGTGATAGCTCACACCGTCTCCCCATTCAGAATCCACTGCTCTAATGGAGACCTAGTGAGAACTGAAGACTCCTCGCTAGACTGCCGAAAGAGTGTCCTACCTACATATACATAATATTCCCAACACCGGTCTCCACTGCACATTACTCTTCCTAGAGCTCGGCTTTGATCAGATCATTCTCCAATTCAAAAATCTTTAATGTTCCCCATTACTTATTAAATTAAAATCAAACTCATTTTGGTTTTCAGTGTATATTATGATATGGCTTCGTCTACCTTCTACCTTCACATACCCTTTAGTGAGACCAGAACACTCACTCTTCTCTAAAGATACCCCTTGTTTTCCAACCTATGCGCCTTTCCTCAAATTGTTTCCTTCACTTGAAATACTTTTCACCCATTCTCCATTTTCACCCATTGAGCGCTACCTGTCTTCAAGGTCAACCTCAGGTTTTGCTTTCTCAAGTAAGTCTTTCTGGCTCCCCCCAGCTGGATGTGATCATCCCACCATTGAACTCCCATGGCATCTACTATGCCATGACTTACTAAGTAGTATCATTATTTCTATGCTTGTCTTATGCTACTCACTGTATTGACAACTCCATAAGTCTAGCAACGGTGTCTTATTCATCTCTACTTCACCTGCCGTGCCTAGCTCATTTCTTGCGTATAAAATGCACATAATTATTGAAGTGTTTCTGAGCAAGTTTTGAAGGAGGATAAGAAAGAAAGTGGAGGAGTTCTTGGCTTCTGAAAGCATGGCTTTGCCATGAAATGACATTATAGGAATCTTGAGGAGCAACTTTTCACACGTTGTAATTTTGTATAAGTTTGTAGCTTAGAACGAGCATCTTGGCAGTGATGGAAATCTGTGTTGGGGGAAAGGAAGGCTAGTCCAGAGCTCCAGCATCCACTTGGTTAAAATCGTGTACTGGAGACTCCCAGGCAGGCAGGGTAGCATGAAACAACTGGGTGCCAGGAATCTTGGGGATGTCTTCAGGTCCTGGAATACTGCAGGGCAGATAAGAGCACTGGACCAGAGAATTCTAGAAGAAGAAAATGAGGTAATAAAACTAACTGCCCGTTTCACCATTCTACATGCACTGGACTAGAGTAGCACAATTTTAGCCTTGTTTGGGTTTGTATATGCATAAAACTAACTGTTGGTCAATTGCTCAGTCAATCATCTTATATTTATTGAGTGCCTTCAGTGTGCCAGGCACTCGTACTGTGCTAGGTGCAAAAGATACAGGGGTATACAAAAAAAGATGAAAACCCCTCCCCTCATGGACCTCACTTTCTAGCGGGAGAAGAGAAGTGATAACTACAATATACACATAAACTAAAGGCTGTTAGGAGACAATCTTCTGGATACAAATAAAGAGGATATGAAGGCAAAGTGCTAGAATTTTAAGCAGAGTGGCCAGGGCTCGTTAAGAATGTGATAACTTGGGCAAAGATGTGGAAGAGGTGAACATTCACCTATGCAGCTCTTTGGGGAAAGAGCATAACAAAAAGAGGGAAGAGCCAGTACCAATGTCCTGAGGTGAGCAAGGCCTGATATATTGGAGAAACAGAAAGGAGGCCAGAGTGGCTGCAGTGGTTAGAGGCAGAATGAGGTCAGAGGAAAAAAAGGGAGGCTTCAGGTCTTTGCAGGCCGTTGCAAGAATGTGGCATTTTCTTTGAGTGAAACCGGGGGTGGGGGGCCTGACGAAGAGTCTTAGTAAAAATTGACAACATTGGCCCTTGAACTGACACTGAACTGTACAAAGGGCCAAAGACTGAAGCAGGAAGACCAGTCAAAAGGCGATTGCAACGTCCCAGATGAGCGACGATGATGACGGCTTGGACCAGGGTGCTGGTAGTAGAGACGAAGTGATCAGAGTCTAGAAAAATTTTAAAGGTAAAGTGTCAAGGACTTCCCCACGTTTTGGATGTAGGGTATGAAGGGAAAAAAAAGACTCAAGAATGACTCAAGTTTTTTTGCCACAGAAACAAGAAAAATAGTGTGGTTTATTAATGTAGACTATTAAGAGTGGCCTAGGTTGGGACAGCAGAGAGAATCAGGGATTGAGTTTGGGATCTGTAATAGGTATCTCGTGATACCTGTTGGACGTCGACGCAGAGTCTGGAGTCAGGAGGGAGAGTCTGGGCTGCCGATATAAATTTGGGAGCCATCAGGATGTAGACAGAATTTGAAGCCAAGAGACTGGCTAAGGCCCACACGGGAGTGGCTAGAGGGAAGAGATAAGGTCCAAGCACTGAGCTTGAGGCACTCCAACACTCAGAGGTCCTAGAGGAAGAACCAGCAAAGGAGACTGAGAAGGAACAGCCAGAGAGGTAGGAGGCAAACCAGGTGGGTGTGTTGTCCTGGAAGCCAGGATCAAAGGTGTGTAAAGGAGGAGGGAGTGAGCAACTCGGTCAAACGACCTTTGGATTTAGCAATGTGGAAGTCACTGGTGACAGTGACTGGAATGGAGTTTCAGTGGCGTAATGGAATAAGAAAGTCTAATAAAAAAGGTTTGAGATCAGGAGAAGAGGAATTGAAAGACTGAGTGTCGATGCCTTATTTTGCTATGAAAAGCTTGCGTTTTTTTTAAAAGCTGGTAATTCATACTTTTTATTAATCCACATGGGCATTGTGTCCACAGCAATCTGAGTAAGTCAGATTTTACTTGTGAAATCTCCCTATCTAATGAGAAAAAGTTTTTGTGAAATGGGTTTCAGCAGTTTTAAGTCTGGCACTCTCTTTGTTAACTGAAGAAAAACAATCACTGCCTTCAGTAAATTTGAAGTTCAAAGTATTGTAAGTTTTACAATCAAACTTCTATCTTGGAACTTCTCTCTCTCTGACACACACACACACACACACACACACACACACACACATCCCAAAATGATGACATCATAGTTCTCAGTTGAATATTGTACCTCATTATAAATAACATTCACTCATTTCAAATATTTCATTATTGATTTATAGTTAGTTCTTTTCTCATTCCATAAACATTTGACTGCCTTTTCTACTTGTAGACACTGGTTCACACTGTCAACAGTTGGGCACTGAATCTCAGAAAACATTAAGCTTGGGATTAAAAGTAGGGCAGGGAAAGCTGTCAGCAAAACATGCTAACCTAATGTATCCAAACAGGACAGGGTCCAGTTTATACTCAGAACTGCAAGGGTGCTGTGAGGTACGATGATTTGATACTTGTGTTGTGATGTCATTTTGTTGCAACATTAAAGCCAAGAGTCTTCTCCACCCAAGGGCAATGCCAATTTCCCAGAAGGCTCGTTTGTCAGAGCCAAAGCTCCAAAGATGCCAATGCACCCATGCTGATACTTAGTCTCATGTTATTTCTCAATTTTATGCTTAATTTGCTCCTTTTGGTTTTATGTATTTTGACACAGCCAAGTGTATGTGGGGATTTCCCCATAGTCCTTTAAATGCTATAAAACTTTAATATAGGGAGATAAAAACCATAATAAGCCATGCCTCCAAGCCCTCACATTTAGTTCTTTATTTGACTTAGACAATAACCAGTTTTAGATACTGATTTAGATTTTTAAGTATTTGCACTGCTTTAAAAATGCCCTTTGCTTCTCCTTACCCTCCTCCCCGACTAAAATGAAAATTATATTCTACCCTTAATCTGGACATGCAACTCCCATTGATTATACAAAATGGCATCTTTACAATTCTTAAATTGTCATCATAATGACCTACATCAAGCATGAGCCAGTGCAATTCAATATGGTTCAGAATAAAGCCAAGATTGATGCCCAATTCCCAATTTTAGGCATGCATCCCTGGAATGTCTTTTGGAAAAAATGAAATAATGCTCCTGGTAGGCTGTTGGGTTAGTCTGTTTTCAGCATAATTGCCTTCTCTCAGCTTCCTAATACCCTTAAAACCTCTGAGAGTCTTTAATGTACAAAGTTCAACAAAAACACCTTCAGAACAGATTAGTTCTAATTATGTTTAATATTTGTTTGCTGCTTTATTGAATAAACTGCATTTGCTTTAAAGAAAAAAAAAAAGCAAATTCACTTAACTGCATGTCAGTCACCCAAATTTTAAGTGTACAAATGAAATGGAAAACATTTATTACACAAATTTAATTACAATTCTAAGAAATAAACATGCAAATTAGATAGAGTTCAATTTGCAGATGCTAATCCTCATCCTTGATCTTGTTCCTTCCCTCCCTGATTTTCAGTCTGCAGCTAGCTCCTTGATTCCTAGGGAGCCAGGCAGCCAGAGGTTTGGTTTTTCACAGTCGGAGGATCACTGTTTTAAAGAAGTGTTATATTTAGCACATCTGGCGTAGTAGCAGTAAACAAACATTATAGTCTTTGTAACACTTTTGTGCAGGTGCCATCTCCGGATTTTATTAGGTCTATGCCTTCCAAGCCTCTGCCTTCATTACACCTGAAATGACCCATCTCGCCTATGGAGCGGTCCCTAGACAGAAGTTATGAATTAATGTGTTAAAAAACAAACTCCAGTTGAGCCCAATATAGGGGAAAATTACTATTTGCAAAATATTCTGATTCTGGGGCTTAAATTACATTCTCTTGAGCAAAGACAACCTCCTTTATTACTTTTTATTTCCTGGAGGTTTTCTCTGGAGGATCCCCACCCAGAAAGAGTTGCCAATTCAAGTTGCAGCAGGACCAAGGTTGCTTTTTTATACATATGCAGCTCAGGAGGGGAACGGGCGGGGGCGGGCGGCGAGGGGAGAATAACCGCTTGGTCCTGCAAAGACATCTGTTTCTCATCTCCGTTTGCTGTGGCAAAGGAGAAGAAAGTCTTTTGCAAAGGGTGGGAAAGGCACAGATTTTTTTTTTTTTTTAAT